CTTGCACAATATTTTGTCGTCTTGATTAAACAAAAAATCAAAGTAATATTGTTGAAAGAACTTTTTATATTCGCTTCGATAGTTGATATATCCAAAAATAAAAATGAGGTTTTTTGAATGAAACAATAAAGTCCTGGTAAATGTTGATTATAATTTATGTACCGATGATGCTCTTGTTATTATAAGAAAATAACACACTCGTTGGCAATGTTGTTTTCTGAATCTATTAAAACGCTTTTATGAATGCTCCAATGTTTCAGACACATTAAAGTAATTTAATAACTACAGTGTTTCCAAAGTTATTACTGCTTGCATTTTAAATGTTTTTGTTTTGAATTTGTTATCTGCATTTTTACATATAATGATTAATGCTAAAGTCATTTTAATTGCAAGTTTTTGATATATTTTGACGAATAAAACTTTAAACGTTCCATTGTTTACGACATTAATATGTTAAAGTAATTATAACAATTCATTTATTTGTGTTATATTAAAATCGTAACAGTTGAATAATAAGTCTTACTTTTTACGAGTAATCGGCTCTTTTAAGTTTTTTAATTAAATTGAAATATTATATAAGTGAATAAATATTACTTAAATTTCGAAATAACATAACATAGTTATTATATTTGTTTATCATTTTATTAAATATTAATCAACATATTATTAATTTAAACAATAAAACTTGTTGTCTGAAGAAAATAGTATAAAATTTAGCCAAAGTATGAAATATAATGTAAATAAATAAAATGCAAGTATTTTTTTCTTTATTGTTGAAAACAATAATTTAACATTTTTTTGTGGCTGTCTTCATAGTCCGGCAAATAGAATTTCATTTTATTTTTTACATAGAAAGTCCATAACTTGCGGCAAATTAAACGAAAAAAATACCAATGTTTTGTTTTTTGTTTTGTTAGTTACTCAAAATGAAATTCAGAAAAATCTTTAAAAACTATTTTGGGGTTTTAATAAAACAATTGTGTTATTTTTAACATTATTTTTAAAAATAAATAATTTACTATATATTTACAATTAAAAATTACTATATATTAACATGAAAAAACAAAACTCATATGAAATAAAAACGTCCATATAAACAAAATGAATTTTATTTTTTTTGTTTAAATTAATAGTATTTTTTATTATTATAAATATTAACTGATATAATAGTTAATAGTTAATAATAATAATATTATCATTATTATTAATAGTAATAGTAATAATATTATTATTAATATTAATTATATAAATCTATTTATTTAAATTAATAGTAATGAAAAATGTCCATTATAAACTTAATAAATTTTGTTTGTTTTATTTTTTATAATGTTATATTTTGAATAATTAATAATTTATTTATTAAGTCAAATAAGAAAGTAAACCATTTATATAATTATTATTTAATACATTGATTAATTTTTATTATTATTATAAACTAAAATATAATAAAATTTATTGTTATAATATATTTTATTATATTATTTGTTTAATTGAATATAATCCCATAATTTTGGATTTTGATAGTGATGTTATTCAAAAGATAAAGAAAAATGTATAATGTAATTAACTGTTCTTAAGGTGGGTTCGGTTTTACGCTTTTGTTAAGTATAATTGATAAATATAATAAATTCAAATAAAATTAATATAAAAATGAAATATAATTTAAATGTTAATTTTCCAATTAAATTAAACTATTTAATAAAAAATTAAATGAATATAAATCAATACACAATATAGATAATAATATAAATGTGATATAAATGGTAAAGTAATAAATAATATCAATTGCAAATCAATAAAATATTATATTAAATTCGGATAAAAATTTTATTACTATTTAAACTATAATTAATAAAATTTTAATAGTTAACATATAATTAAAATTTTATAAATACAAATTTTGTTTTATTTTACTATTATTCAATAGTTGTTATTGGTTTTACCAATAGTTCTTAAAAGTTGATATTTATTATTTTTGATTATTGTACTATTATTTGTTATACATATTATGATTAATTTTAATACACTTTTTTAATTGTAGTTAAATTTTTAATAATATTATTATATTTATATTATAAACAATTGATTTGAATTATAATAGTTTATACTATATTATTTAATATTTTTTATTTAAGTTTTAAAAATAATTTAGTATATTTATAATATATTTATAATATATAAATTTCAATTTGTTAGGTTTAATTATAATTGAATGGTCATTATTAAAAACTGTTGTTATATTCAACTATAATAATATAATATATTTTTTCATTTTTAAATAATATCAAATATATTGTTTTGTTATTGAAAATGTAATAAATATAACATTTTAAATAGTTGTTGTTATTCAAATGAATTTTATAAAAATATTTTGATAAAGATAATTATATGAGTTTTACTTTAAAATGTTATTTGAAAATGTGATCCTTATGCAAACTTTTTGGAAAGTTCAAAATTTTAGAAATTTCGGAAAAAATGCATTGCCGAATTTATAACGGACGTTTTTTGAATCTGTTTGCCGGACTATGCTGTCTTTTATTTATTTGTAAAACTGGTTGGTTATAAAGACAGGCAACACAACTTCTCGAATATAAGATCAATTATGTATTAGGATCTTGGTAATAAGTTGCCAAAATCAAGTTACATTTATTTTTATGTTTTTTTACAAACCCAACTTGAAAAAAAAAACAGAACTAAAAAGTACAAGACACAACCCAAATTTTTCTCACAAATTTTTCCATTTAATTAAAAACATTTGAACCCGAACAATTTCTATTTATAAAATAACAAATTTTATTTATTATTTACAAAATATAGTATGTTAATTTTATTTTTTTAATGCTATTATTATTTTTACAGTACTTTTTTTAATAAATACATTTTTAAACACGGCATATTGAATTGTTATTTACCATCATAAAATTAACATGGTTTAAACAATCATAATTAATTATATATTATAGGTATACAACTATTTTTATCAAATATTAGTATGTAACATATTGTAATTTTTAAATCATCAATGTTTAAATAGATCAATTTCTAATGCCATCAGTTTGTTTTTGTTTATTTTTTGGACTAGTTGGTTTAATGTATTATTTTTAATTGTTTATCTTAATAATAATATATTTATATTAATTATTCTTTGGTATCAATGTTTGCAAACGATGATATTGCTGATAAATATAACATTAACAATTCTTATTTTTCTGTTGTTTTTAAATTTGTTTAATAAATAATAGATGTGTTAATTGGCAAAATTCCCCATTTATGGCAACTTTTTTTAACTATTTAATAATTTTATAACTTATTTTTTTAATGTTTGTTGTATGATTTAACGATATATAAAACTTTGCATTAAAAAATATTGATATTACGTTATTTTTATCATGTTTATTTAGTTCTTTTTAATGCACAATTTGTGATAAATATATTTTAATCATGAACAATAAACGTAAAAGAGTGCAAGTTCTGAACCCGAACAAGTTTTTTGTAACATTTATTCAAATGTCATTTGTTTGCTGGATTTTCCCGTTTATTATCGTTGTTTTAATACAACATAAACGAAATAAAAACAGGAAAATAAAAAATAACTTTAAACTTATTCATCGTGCAAATAATTCTTTTATTTGCCAATTTATTTGGCAAACATGTTAATATTGTTATTTTAAGTAATTTAATAATGTTATATTTTTTATCGGAACAATAACAAACTGTATCCAGAAATTTGCTTAAATAATTGTGGTTTTATTATTAAAAGTCGTCCAAAAAACGTAATTTAAAAATGACTTTTGTTGTAAAAACAAGTAAAAACAAAATTTTAATTGTTTTACCAAAAATTATGAGACCAGTCAGTTCATTTGTAATGTTTTACAACACTGTACTATTCTGTAAAATTGTATCAATAAAAACAATATTGTTTATAACAAAAATTATATTAAATAAAATAACTTGTTTTTTATAATTATATAGAATACAAAAATGAATTGAATAAGTGTGTTTTGAAGATAAATGTAATCAATCAGATTTGATTTATACAACATAAAAACGTTATAAAATGGTCTTTTAAAGTAGATTCTTTTGAGAAAGCTGTCTTAAAACTCTTGTGATGCTTTGATTCTTCAGTTAATTATTCAAAAAAATACAAAATAAAAATATTACAATTACAATGTTTTTACCCGAATATTTGAGTGAAATAATTGTATTTTTTAGTAAAATAATTTAAAAATAACAACTATTTTAGTATAGTTTTATTAAAACTATAAATCCCATTTTTTGCGGTGTATTGCTGTAAAAATTTTGTCATTTTTAATATAAACTTTTTGGACAACAAATTTTATTGATTATAAAAAAAATTTTTGAATGAAAAAAAGCCATTATTAGAGTAAAAACAAAAAAAACACCACAAAACAATATTTTTTTGTTAAAAATGAGCTTTTTTGCCAACAGCCACAAAATTTACTATATAAATGTCTAACCCTGATAGCATTTTCAAATTGCCAAAAAGTAAAGATTATGTAATAAAAATTAAAAAAGTGAAATATTTTCAAACAATAAGCAATTCATAAAAAGATACTAAAAAGAAGAATTTAATATAATACTGCTTTTGACCATTTTCAACCCAATTTTAATAAATTTTATTATTCAAAAGTGTGTACAAATAAGAAAAAGGACGGACACGGAAACGAAAAACAGGAAAATAGGCCAAAAACGTCCTTTTTGGTTTATGGACTTCCTCCTGTGTATAAAGACGTCTTTTTTATTATTTTTGTGTCTGCTGCGTTTTCAAAACTATATAAGGAGTTATAATATTACTATGAATTTACTATTAATAAAATATAATAATTTCCAAAAATACATTTAATCATGAACAAACACGAAATTATATAATAATAATAATTATTATTATATAACATTTATTTACATTTACATCATATTTCATATTTATAATTTGAAATATGATGTAATTAATTTAGACAAATAAAACGGTTCCAAAACAGTTATTTCTTGTAGTATTCTTTGTCCATCTTTTCCATGATCAGTTCCTTAACAAATTGGACGTCTTCCTTTGCATTGCAATCTGTGATACCAATAGCTGAGACGTTGATTTCAATGATAGTTTCCGACCCGTCTTTTTCCATGATGATGTCGATGGCAAACATGTCGAGACCGCCCCATATCTTATGTGCCTCTTCTGCCCACTCCTTATACCTTGGCAGCACTTCGACGTCTTTGTATTCAGACGTGCCCCAGTTGTATTTCCAGCTGTCTTCTGAACGTGTTCTGAATGCTCTGATGTGTCCATTAATGTATTGCACTCTGACTTGATAATTTTCGTTCAAAAACGGTTCGACGGTGTAATACGAGTTACCCACAGCAATAACAGACGCAACGTCTTTCAACTCCTTTTTGTCGTGAACAACAGTCTTACCGTACCCCCCATGAATGGTCGCAACTTTGACAACTTGTGGCCACTTCTCTGGGACTGGTGCACCACCAAACGAAGGCGCATCGCCTTGATTTGAGTTGTACTCCAAATCAACAACTTTGATGCGCGTCTTCTCCCACTCGGCATCGCCATGGTGCAACTCAATCAATCGCTTTTCTATTTTTAACAACTCGGAATGCAGCAATGGCCGATTTAAGTCGTTGACCATTACTTGAACGGCATTGACTGCGGGAGTGTTGGCAATGGCAAATGTGAGTAAATGGTTCAAGTAATTGGTGTTGTGGATGTTGATGGGGACATTACGAACCAACAACATGTCTGGGACAACCAATCGCTCCTCTTTTTGATTTGTAAATAGAAACGGATTTGGTGATGGACTGATGTTGACATACGCTTTGCCTTTAGCTGCTTTTGTGCTTATCAACTTCCACTCAGTTTGCTCAATCTTTAAATCATCGCCATTGGGGAGCTTTGGGTGTCTGCCAAAGACTTCATACCAATTGGTGGAGTCGTCTATGATCAGAAGTGTTTTGGACATCGTGTTGTGGTTATGGAGTTTCTACAAGACTTTTATACTGTTATTTAATGTGTGTAATTATTTACTTCATTGTGTTTTATATATTAGTTTAATACGATAACAAATTATATATTTAAGTATTCAACTTATTAAATTTTAATAACTTGAATTTAGTTTAATAATATTTATTGTAACTTGAAGTTTTATGGTTGTGTAATTTTATTGATTTATAACATATGACAAAACATTTTACAGATATTATTTGTTATAGATTTAAATACTATACTAATATCGTTCAAAATTACATTATTAAAATATATATTTATTATTAAATCAATAAATTTTATTTGATACACAATTGACACACATTGATAATTTACAATTACACAAACTATTTGATAAGTTATATATACATAAACAATTACACAACGTTATAAGTAATTTGAATATAATACTTTTTTTAACAAAAAAGGTGTATATATTATATTTTTATGTATTTTATAATAATTTTAATTTAGAATAATGTTTTCAACTTTTTTTAATCATATATTAATATTCATTAATATAATCAGATTTTACACCAATATATTGTAAATGCCTCGTTGTTTCAATTAAATAAAATTGTTATATTTTTGTTGATTTGGTGCAAAACACCTTTTGTATGTTCGAACAACAATTTATAATTTATTAGTAATTATTATTTAATTTATTTATTATTATTTGATTGAATAATAACATAAAATTATAACCAATAATTTAACATTATGTTGATATTTGAATAACATTTTAAATGTAGTGTTCATTAAAAGTTTAAACACTCAAAATGGAAAATTAGTTTAATTCGAATAAATAACTTTTATTTAATTTGTAATTAGTGATGGTAAACCAATCTTATATATTGTAAAACTCGATGATATGTTAACATTGCTTAATTAAATTAAGGCAATTAAAACATAATTCAAAAATACTTGTTTATTTGGTGATACTGTGATCAAACCAAATTGATTCATTCATCAAATAACTTACTTTGATCAGTTTGATATTGTATGTATTTCTCTGTAAATTTTATTGTTAAATAAAAAGAAATAATTATTATCATTGATATTGACATTTGTTGATAATAATACAATGCTTAAATGACGACTTTATAAACAATTAAACACAGTTGGTTTTACTTTCAGTGTAAAGTTCAAAGTTTAAATTGACACAATAACGAAACATGTGTTTATGTATTGATAAATTAAATAAACAAATTCAATATGCTATAATTAACATAACAAAATAATTTATTGTTTAAACAAGTAAAATAATGGAATTTCAACGTTTGTTAAATTTAAAAAATTAAGTACATTTATTAATTGATATTTTTACCGTTTTTAAATCATAACATTACAAAATAAAAAATACACAACAATTTTATTAAACATTTTATTGATTTAAATGTGTTAAATTATGTTACCAGATATTGACATTAATAATTTTAATTGTTTTTTACAAATAAATAACTTAATGTTTGTAATATGTGAATACAAAAATAATTGTACAAATTACAAAAAGTGTACTTTTTGTAACTTCAAAATAATTAAAATGTATCTTTGGGGTGTTGTACTTGTATTTCTTTTAGATTATCTTAAAATATTGTAAAGTTTTTATTTTTGTAAAACACTTTGAACATATCATAACATTATAAATACGAATAAAAATGTTTGTATAGTGTTGAAATGTTAACTTGGGTTTATATCAATTATCATTTAAAATTGTGTTAAATTTACTTATGATCATCATTTTTAAAACATTATTGACATTAATTTTCAACATCATTCAAGATCTTCTTTTTATTTATATACAATACTTGTTATTATGTGATAAACAAATAAAATATATAAAACATTTAAGAATTGGGTTGGTTTGGTTTGTTACCAAATATACTGTGATTTTAAACAATCAACTTTGGTGCATTTTTCAAACATAATTAAAACAATATTATTGTATGAATGTGATGTATAATAGAATTATTCTTCATCACTGTGCCAACTTTGTCAAATTATTATTTTATAATAGATATGAAATATTAAGTAAAAAGTGTTATTTCTTAAAGATTAAATTTTACATATATTTAATTGCTAAGTTAATATTTAATAATTACATGAAATCAAGTAATGGATAAACAATTATAATTTTAATTTTTTTAACAACATACAATATGACTAAAATGAAATCAATAATACAAAAAAATTGTAAAATAAATTTTAATGGTATAACTTGTTGTTTGTACTGACAAAAAGACACAATGATGTTAATAAATTAAATCAAAAACTAAACCAATAAAATTAAATATGTTTTAATATAATACAATTCTTATTGTTGAAATACAAATGTTATAATATTTGTTTTTATAAATCTATAATTATAATAATTAAAAAAATGTTTTATTAAAAAAGAATCAAAATGGTCCCGGCGGGGATCGAACCCGCGACCCTCGCATATCTCTATTCTATAAGTACGATGCACTACCGACTGTGCTACGGGGCCTTCTTATTCATAAAATAACTAATACTATTGACACGTGACAACTATTTTAAAGTAAACTGCATTTAAAACAAACAACCTTTTTTAAATATAGTTTGAAATATCGACTTTATAATAACAGATATATTAATATTAATATTAATAATAATAATAATAATAATATAATTATTTTATAATTATATAATAATAATATAATTAATTGCAATTATACAAAATACAAACTTCATTTGTAATATCTAATTAATAATGGAGATGAATTTTGTTGACAGTTCAAACAGTAATTTTTATATTGAAGTGCGTATGCCGTATCACATTTTGGCACAAGCCAATGAACAAAAGAATGAAATCATAACTTGTTTGACTGAAGAATTAAATGCTCTTCGTGAAGAGATAATTCTTTTAAAAATAACACATGAAAATGAAAAAACATCTTTTAAAAAGAAGTGTTCTGAAGAAGCACAAAATGTGATGATTGATTTTATGAATAAATATACACAACAAGATAGCGAGACAAACGATACAAACCAGCACCAATTAGCAGCGAACTCTCGTAATAATAATGACAATTCCAACCAAAATTCAAACGACACAGAAAACACAACAACACCAACAGCAACAACACAACAAAGTGATTTATTTGCTGAAGAAACGCGTGAAAATATCATTTTCATCACAATTGAAGAGGCGTATTGCGGATGTACAAAAATTGTCACTGATGTTTCTAAAGATGACAAAGAAAGTATTTATATCGTCAACATTACGAAGGGTATCAACAACAGGGACACTATCATTGTTGGCGATAAAACATATCGTATCCGTTATTTGAAACATCCGTATTTGTCTCGAAAAAACGACGACCTGGTCGTATCAAAAAAAGTGTTGATGGCAAATGGTGTGAGACATCCGTCATCATCCATTGTTTATAGAATCGACAACAAAAACGAATTGCTACAATTAAAAGGATTCACCAATGACAGCAAAACAGTGTTAGATGAGTAACATCATTTGTTGTTTATTTTTTACATTTGATATGAATATAATTATAATATTTGTTGTTGTAAAATACTTTTAATATTTAATAAAATGTTGTATATTTAAAGATAATGTTAATCAATACAAATTAATTTAACTTTCAAAACAATTGAATTGGTATAATAAAACAGTAAATATATATTTAATGACGTCTTAACTATAAATTAAAAGTTTTTAAACAAATATGATTTTTAATTGTATACAATAATTCAAATTTATTGGAAAATTATTGTTGTTTGTGTAACATTAAATAAGATAGACCAATTTTGTTGATAATCTATTTACTTCATATCAAATACATTAAATGCTTATTAATGAATTTAAAATAAACAACATGATATGATGTTAGTTATTTGATTTCATATAAAATATTATCAATTTAAATATTATATTATTTACTACATTTTTGTAAGTTGACGGTATTTTTTATTCGTTAATTTAATTGTGTTGAATGCTAAATATATATATATCAACGTTATTGATTGCATAAAGTGAGTATGGTCTTTATTTTGACAATCTTTTTTCAACAATAATTTGAGTAATAAAATGTACATTCTGAAATTGTCCAAACACTATTTATTATTTCAAAACAAATACGTATGACATAGATTTTTCTGTATCGTTGCTATTTTAAACGTGTATACACATTCAAAACACTAATAAAACAAAAAACAAAACATTAATTGTGTTGTAATGTTATTAATGATAACACTATTATATTATCAAATATATTAAAAATTATTAATAAAAAATATTTGAAACATAATTGATATTAATATTTACAACTTGAATAACTCAATATATTCTGATTTCAAACAAATTAATTATAACTGATGCTGCTACTACTATTTGCATCTTCAAACACAATTCCCCACACAATAGCACAGAGTAATACAAATCCAAATACAAAAATCGCCAAAGCATTTGACATTATAAACAGCACAAGAGATACTTTCCCCAGTGTTTTTTCTTGCTTGTCCGACGCGTGTTTGGTTTGGCTATACCCGCACGCCCAAAAGCAACAGCAGAAAAACCCAAGAACAAAATAGAATACACCAGGTGTTGTATTCCCACAATTCACTTCTCGTTGTACCGGAACAATATACACCAATTGTGGTGTGTAGTCTTGTGGGTTGTAAGTGTTTTCGGGTTGTTGACGGGTTTCATAAACTCCAACGTTTGTCATCGAATAGATATTATCAAGTCTGTACTTTTATTATACTTTTATCGAAACTATTCTAGTTTAGTATTTTTAAAAGTATAGGCAAAATACTGTTCGTTGTTATGTGTCAATGAGGAAAACAACTTTTTTGTATAAATTTGTTAAGTAACTATTTTTACATCTTTAAAATGTGTTAGTTATATTTAACCTTATTAAAAATATAGAATTATTATAATATGTTTAATTGCTTATAAGTATAATAATTTCATTTTATGTTAAAAATACAGTTTCAATAACATTATCATGTTATATTTTTCGATATTATAATATAAATTTATATAGTTGTACAATAAAACCCATTCGTCATTGAAAAAAGTTAATTTTTATTGATGAATGCTTTAAAATTAAACATAAAACATATAATAAAAATAACTTTGTTATAAGCTATGTCACTTTATTTTAATAATATTTGTTTTCATATTAAAACACGTTTTATATAAATAAACATTATAATTTCATATTTTAATTTTTTTAATAAAACTGCATGTTTGTATAACAATAAACATTATGTTTTTAAATTATAAAAATATCTTTGCAAAAATTATAAACATATTTATTGTTGATGTTTATAATAATTATTCATTTAGCAATTTTAACATAATATCATAATGTGTGCAAACCCAAAATTGCATAAATATTTAAATATAACAATTAACAATAAAAAAATAAATTATTAGTTCTATTAAAAAATTGTGTATTTCATTATTGTTCAATAAAATATACATAAAAATATATTTCATATAATTTGTATAATTATTATAATTAATAATTGACAAAAAACAACAGAAGTTATAATGTACATAATATTTACCATGTTTTTATTAATTATAATTCAATTTTTATTTAGTTGTTATATGGTTTTATATTGATTTTTATTTTTAAGCTTAATGTATAATTTATCATGAAACTGTGTTTAATGATGTGCCTGTCTTTGTTAATCATTGTATTATTAATAATTAATAAACATTATATTAGCATGTTTATTTTACATATGATAATCATTTTATTAATTGATTAATAATTAACTCAAAAACAATTAAAATAGAATAAAAATTATTCTCTGAAAACCACATCAACTGTTTCCCCAATGAAGTGTTGGTCTTTTCTCTGTTTTAAAAGCGTGTTTGTAGTCTCATCAAAAAGTGCTTTTGATAGAACAACCTTTTTCAATTTTTTGCATTTGTTGAAGCACTTGAATCCGATTTTTGTCACTTTGTTTGGGACTTCAATGACTTCATTTGTGCACCCCTCAAAACATTTGACTCCAAGTCGTGTCACAATTTCTGGAATGTGACTGCCGTGTGTTCTCCTGTCATCTCTTGTAAATTCAACAACACTACACATCACACCGTTTGCTTTCATCATAAGTGCCATATCATAACACACTCTTCCATTGAACACCTTCAATTTGTCACACGTCTCAAGTGTCACGTTTTTGGTGTGACACCCTTTGAATGCGTCGACTGCTATTTTGACGTTTGAGTTGCAAAATGTGATATTATCGAGTGATGTGCAGCCATTAAATGCGTTGCTTTCGATGTATTTTACACCACTTCCAATTCTAATTTGACTCAATTTCTCACACTTTCTGAACGCATTTTTGCCGATCGACTCGACAACGTCAGACAAGACAACTTCTTTCAAGTTGACACACCCAAAGAACAAATTCATTCCAATGTGCTTCTGTTGCTCCAAAACGACTTTTTGGAGTGTTGTGTTGAACGCAAACAGATTCTTACCCAAATAGACGTCGTTGTATTTCACAACAAACTCTCTGATCTTTTGCGTTGTAAAAGCGCCTTTTCCAATTTTAAACAGCCCCTTTGGAACTACATAGACTTCTGGGATGTCTACTACACTGACCGCCCATTTCTCAAGTTTTCTCAAGTTTGTCGGGAGTTTCATTTTTTGTAAAATCGGCGCTTTTTCTTGTTTCTTTGTGTTGAAAATGTTCTTCCCCATCGATGTGAGTGCGTCTGGCAACTTGAGTGAAGTCAGTGCAGTGCACTGTGCAAATGTACCACGTGATAAATGGTCGAGGTGCTCACACAAGTTGATAACGGCAAGTTTTGCACAATTATCAAAACAGAATGAACCGATATGTGTTGCTTTTGGAAGACTGGCACTCGTCAAATTAACACAGTTGGCAAAGCACTTCTTGTCGACACGCGTGACAAAGGGAAGATTAACTTCTTGCAATTTGTTGCACCAGTCAAACCCTCTGATTTCACTCAACGTGGTTGGAAGTATCAATTTGGTCATTTTCTGTTCGTTGAAGAAAGAATTAGCAGGAACATATTTGATGGGAAGTGTCTTGTTATCACCGTTGAAATAAGTTGGAGTGATCACTTTGATGTCTTCGCTCTCTCTGATGGTCTGTTTGTCACACCACACTCGTCCACTCACTTTCACACCAAATTTTGTGAGTGTTTTGTAGCAATCCAATGTGATGTCCAAATCAGTCAAGTCGCCATCTATCACCACATTCTTCAAGTTGTATAAATTAAACAAAGCCTTGTCTTCTATGACTTCTAAGTGCGTTGAGAGTGTCAACGAGGTGAATCCACAATATGAGATGGATCCACTTTTAAGTCGAGTGACGTGTGATAAGTCAATCTCTCGTACACTGCCAAAGCCAGACCACCCATCTTTTTGAATTGTTCGCAAGTTTGGCGAAAGAACAACTTTTTGTGCATTGAAATTTGCACGGACACTCATTGGACACCCAACGAATGGGTAATGACTGAAATCAACGACCCCATTTTTAACTGTTCTGAAGTAAGACGCAGAGGCAACAAAAACGTCGTGCTCATCTTTGAACTCGTCACTTGTTGGTGTTCCAGTCATCAGCCGTTTGAACGAAAACTCGATGTTTGGGTATCTTTTCAGTAACATTTTACGACGTTTATTGCCTATCTGCGCCCAAAATAATACACGCTTGGCAGACGGGAGTATCGGGTCATAGAAGTTGTATATGTTCTGCGTCTCGATGTGTGGAAATAATGTGCAAAGAGTTTTGGAGACTGGAATTGGATTGAAATGGAACATGTCGTTCACTTCTTTGAACTTTTTGCAGATCATCGTCATCTTGATAAAGTCGTCTTCAAACAGAAAGTATTTGGCGACTATCATCATGTGATATCTGTCAAGTGTTCTCATGCAATGTGGGTGTTGATATTATCAGTTTGTATTTTAACCAGCCAAATAAAAATTATTTGTCTAATAATTATTTGTTCAAAAATTTCAATATACAAATGTATAATAATTAATTAATATTAAATATTAATAGTATTAATTATTTTACTTGAAATTAATAATAATATAATAAATTAAACTAATTATAATCAGATGTATTTATTATAACATGTGTAGTTATTATAAAAATATATCAATTATTATAATTTATATTATTTAATATTGAAATTCGATATTGTTTAAATTGATAAGAGTGTAGTTGAAACAAGCAAGTAAAATATTAATATATATTTATTATATTACATTCTATATTTACGTTAATAAAATAAAACGTATCAACATTAATAATAATTTATAAGGTTGTTGTGTGTTTATTACAATAGTTACAGTTTTCATTTTTGGTTATTTTTTATGATAATTAAATATAATTTGGTAAATTGTAGTGGTTTTTTGTTGTGGAAATAAAAACATCTTTTTGTTGTGATATTAACTATAATATATAGTTAAATATTATTTAATTTAACTAGACAATGGATATTTATTTTTTTATTAAGTTAATAAGTCTTATTGATAATAAATAATTAGATATTTTTAATATATTTAATAATTATTATAAATATACAGATAACTAAGAAGTTTTTTTTATTCAGATGGTCTCATCAATTCACTTTTAAAAATCTAATGAATTTTGTTATTATAACAAAATTTAATAAGTATTTTTTGTATATTGAAAAATTCAAAGAAAAACACAATGATTGTATATATTTACTTATACTTCTTAATAAATGAAATCAGATATTAAGTTGTATTTTTACCTCCAAATATTTTAAATAAATACTCAATCAACATTATTTATAATCCAATATAATGATTTATTTAAATCTCACATTAAAAAATATAACAAAAATCCAATTAAAGCAAATAAAATTAAATAAATAAGTATCATTGGAACTTGAAAAGTGTTCAATGTCACGCAAATTAAATCCTTCGTTCAGCAGATTTAATCCTTTTGACATTGGTGGTATCAAAGACGACAAAACTCGTGAAGAAGTCATTCTCAAATTTGTTCACTCATACGAGGAATGTATCAATATAACACAACGTGAGCAAAAGACGACTGAACTCTGTCAGAAGTGTTTCAGTCAAATAAAAATCAGCCAACTAGTACCTTTTGATGGGTGCGGTCATGTCCTCTGTCGTTCTGTTTGTTACATTAATTGACTTTGAATTTTTAAAATGATGAGCAGTGTATGATAAAACACATAGCAGAACAAATAGAAGGTCCCAATCCGTATATCCAGTGTTTCTTCCAGGAATGCAACAACACTTTGAACAACAGTGCAAAACTTCTTCATGATGGGCTGATCACACAGAAGCAGCGCGATGTGATGGAAGAGAAGATGGTAGGGAAGTACTTGAAAGACCACGGCTTCTCGACATGTCCTCACTGCAACAACCCGATACCTGGAAACACACAAGGCAACAACAACATCAAGAGGACGTGCGCGTACTGTGGTAACAAATTTTGTTATAATTGCAGAGAAAAGACGTGGCACGAGGAATTCACATGTGCGCAGTACAAATCATATAAGAACATGGCAGCTTGGCTGCGAACACTTTACGAAAATGGGATGGAGTTCATTCGTAACACACCAAACTGCCCTGAAATATCGCAGAACTCGATCATCCAGTTCAACACACAACTTCTGAAGAACTGCAATGCAATGACAAGATTCTCTAAAATGGTGTCGCTTAACAATTTTGATGTGAACAACGGCTTTTTCACGTGGCATGGAAGTCCTGAAAATGGGGTACAGGGCATTTGTAACGAGGGGTTTGACCCACACAGAAGGTCAGGACAGGCGTACGGTACGGGCGAGTATTTTGGAATCCAACCACAGACATCATTTAGTTATTGCCAAAATGGAAGTCATTTGATACTGACTTATGTGCTAAATGGTAATCAAGTCAGAACACAACCAGGATTTTGTTATATTATAAATAACCCAATCGATTGGAACACGTCTTATTGTCTTCCACTGTTTGTAATCAGTTTCAGAAACCACGCGGCTGTGAGTTGGTTGCCTGAAAATACACACTGTTTTGAGAAAGAGGCGTAAAACTGTTTTGGTGTGTTTTGTGTTTATTTATAACAAAAATTTTATTCATTTGTTATTTTATAATATTTTATTGTAAAATATAAATTTTAAAAAAATAATCTGATTGGATAGAATTACGTTTGTAAATTGTTATTATTTTATTTTATATGAAATTTATGATTTATAATAAATTAAACATTACCTAATTTTTATAAAAATCAAACAATTATAATAATTTTTAAAAAAATCATTTATAAATTTATAAATTTATCAATTGCAATTTTGTGAGGATTATTCAAAGGGGAGTTTAGCATAATGGTAGTGCATCTCAGAATGGTTTGAATAACAACAAGAGAAGACCTTGGGTTCGATTCCCATAATTCCCACTTTTTGTTTTTTGAAAAATATTATTTATTGTTGTACAGTTATGGTAAAAACCCATCAATTTGTCTTAAACCTTTCAAGCTTCAAAGAACAATAATAACGACGTTATCCCGAACAAGTACGATATAAAAATGGACAAAAAATGTTGTATAATAAAAACAAAAACAAAATATAAAAATAAAAACCATAAAAAACTACATTTGTTTATAACTGTTCAATACATGATCATAATAAGTCGCGTCTCGTGTAAAACCACAAGAAGTGACATCGGAGAACAAGTTTTAACAACGCGTTTGTGGAGTTGGCTTACAATCTTCATCCGAAAATGTCGTTTCTAAATATATAATATTTTTTTTCTGGTTTTGACCAATCAATTGACGACTTGAGGGGGTTTGGAAAACTATAGGGGTTTCGTACCGACCTGTAATCTAGACATCAGGCCGGTCTTCTAGAATTTGGGGTTGTTGGGCCTAATAAATTCAATTGACGCGGGAAAATTCAAATAACACTTGCCCGCTTTTTGCAGCCATTCAACAAATGTTATTTGTTTTTTCTTCTTTTTGATTCCTTTCTTCGAAAATAACAAAAATGATCATTTAAAATAAATCAGATTTAAAACATAAAAATGCCCAAAACAATAATTCAAACAACAAACTTGAAATTCCATTTAATTAAAAAAACCAAAATATATTTTTTGTTTTTTTAAATTAAATAAAAATATATTTTATTATAAAAGCAGAACTCCCCAAAGCAAACAAAAGAATTAAACTATTTAACAAATTAAAAATTATAGTATAAACCATATAAAGATAATTTTTTTATTTTATTAAGTTTAGTATTGTTTTTAACAATTATAGTCATTTTATGGATATTATAGTTTATCTACAACAATAACATTTTGTGATTGCGCGTGTTATTTTATAAACCTTAAACATACATAAACTTGTTTAGTATTATATTGAATTTATCATGTTAACAATTTGAACTTTATTTACTTTTAATATCATTTAATTAGAGGTCCAGATGTTCCAAACGTATTTCTTTTTTGACAAAGAGTTACATTTTCCTTCTTTTTTTCTGATTTAATTTTGTCAATTTGTTTTGTTATTACATACTTCGACATTACAAGTTTTCTTATTGTAGAAGCATTAAGTCTTACTCTCTTTTTATCAAAAACATAATTAAGTAAACTAAAAACGCTTTCCGAATCAATACTTGTTGGGGGGATAAATAGATATTTTCGAACCGTTCCTTGTAGCAACACATACTTATTATCTTGATGATATTTTTTCCAAAATTGAAGTGCGTTCATTTGAGTGTCGTTTTCTTTTTCAAACTCTTCCACTTCTTTTCTTATTTTTATTTGTAAAATATCATCTGTTGTTGCATCACTTGAAACAACATAGTATTCACACGTTGAAAACCCGAACGCAGACTTGATTGGTAAGCCTTGTAACAAGTCTTTCATGACTTCTTGTAAGAATAACACGCGTACCTTTTCTTGTATTCTTATTGGTAATTTCACTCGGTATTTTGGCGTAAGATAACAAGGAATTAAGTAGCATTTTTCATTCAATATGGATTTGAATCGAAAAATAAAAGCTTCTGCTGCACAACTTTTCCATTGAAAATTCGTGCAGCTGGGAGTTGTTCCTTCTTTTGATTGGTTGCAATCGATATCTTGGTTTTCAATTTCGTTTTCTGAACCAGCACTACTAACAACACCATTGTCTGGATCATCGAACACAAAAACATTTGTTTCGACCTTTTTTTATCTTTCAATTGTTTTTTTTTCTATAAATCATTTTATTATTTATTTCCAATTTTTTGAGTTGTTCGTTTCTATATTTAGTTATTATTGCCTCTTCTTTTTCTACTTCATTTTGAACCTTTTGTAGTTTTTTTTCTTTGTTGAGCTTTCAAAATCTTTTTTTTTTCATTAAACTTTTTTTTCTATATCAAAATGCTCCATTATTTCGAAAATATTCATCGCACTAACATCTTCTCCCCATAGTGTTTTTGGGTTAAGAACAACCCACATTTTTGTTATTTCATCAATTACGTTTGAAGATGGACATTTATCAGAAGAAAGCATATTATATATTGAGTTTAAAGACTCGGTAAAACAATATATTGAGTCAATCATATTATAATCATCTTCAGTCAACGGACACATAGTTCCCAAATTAACCAGAGCCCCCTTATTTTGCTTCAGACATTTAAAGACTCGGAAACAGTTATTAAAACGAGTGGGCTAAAAGTTTTTTCAGTACAATATTTTTCATTTGAAACTCGACAATTTTCCTTTAACATTTCTGTTAATTCTGGTGACATTTGTAGCGCCTTTGAAAATTTATTTAAAAATAATAATAATTATCTGAATTTTACAAAAGTATTGGTGACTTCTCCAAACAACAAATTTGATGTGTGAACTACACAAGTTAGCTTATTTTCACAAAGTGAGTTTAATTGATTATTTGAACTTCCATTATCCGTGTTTATCGCAAATAGTTTATTTTTAATATTGTTTCTTTCAAGAATACATTTCACTCCATTTGCTATTGCAGCGGATTTGTGACGACCTATAAATTCACCCAATTCCAACAATTCATCGATACACTCAAAGTCCTCCGTTGAAGATCTTAAAGTCACAACTATAAAATTTTTACCAAACTTTGATGCCAAATCAGTTGTGACATATGACTTCAATGGATCAATATTGTTGTTAAACTGGTTTTTTAAGTTGATTTCTTCATTGAAAAATTTATCTAGAAATATTTCCTTCATTGTTCTTGTCGAGTGAAGATGTAGTTCGGGTTCAAAAAAGTGTAGTAAATCGGCGAGACATGGATTGTCAAACTGGTTGAGTGGAATAGATGCTGAAATGAAAAATTTCAACAACAGCTTTAAAAAAGCCCAAGTATGTGGGTCGACATTATCCTCACATTTAAGAAGATGGTCCTTTTCGTGTGATTTAAGATTGTTGATATGAAATTCAAAAAAGTTCCGAGTCATTGAATGTGGTCCATTCTTCAGAGAACAAGTGACATGTGTACCACAGAAGAGACAATAACAACAAGTATCGCATGTGGAAAAAGGAGTATAGTGTTTTTGGTACCACTTTTCATTAACTATACTAATTTTCATTGTTTGTTTTTTGAGTTTTAAATAACAAATATACAAAAATGAATTATTTAATAAATGATGATTGTTAATTTTTATGAAGAAAATAAAATGTTATATTTTTAATGTTTTTTCATTATTTACCATAATTAAATATTGCCATTTTTCTTTTTTTTGTTTAAAATTTTTTTTTGAAAATAAAACTGTTTTGTTTTATATGAACTGTAAATAATTTATTTTTTTGTAAATAAACTCATAATGTCTTAAAAGTATCATTTTTTATTGTTTTTTCATTTTTGGAATAAAAGTTTTTTAAATTGGCATCATTAATTATTATGTAAACACGTATAATTAAAAACACATAATAACCTCTATTTTACCAATTGATAATTTAAAAATATTATCAAGGCATAATTAAACGTTGGCTATTATGTTGCATTTTTGATGCTAAATATGGTAACGGGTTTGATGTCTAATGTAATGTACATGATAATTTTTTATAATCTGGCAATTAATATAAAAACTTGACATTTTAAATAACATTTAACATAATTCAAGTAATTTAAAAACGGGATATTTCGAGTTTTTATTATAATTTTTCAGTTTTTTAATATTTATTTTATATGCATGACATTACACAATCAAAAAGGAATATTTTACAATTTAAATTAATTATACAAAAATAACAGGTCAATTAAAAAACAGGGTTTTTTAAAGATGTTTATATTTTTTAATTATTTGATTATTTAATTTTTGTTTATTGTTATTTAAAGTGTTAATAAAATAGAAATAAATTTAACAAAATATTATTTTATAATATTTGATGTGTTTAGATAAAAAGTTTATATATTTTATTGAATTATATAAAAAAAATTAATAAAAATCATAAATTAATATTTGCATTTAATTAATAATCAATTTAAGACAACTAAATACCAATAACATTAAAATAATTGTTAAAACATCTTGGTTTAACTAATTAAAGTTGCCATTAACAAAATATCAACTTTATTAAATTGCTTTGAGCATTTTATAACTTTTTTATTACATTTGTTATTTAATTTATTGTTAAAAATAAACATTGATAATATTAATTACATTTTTATTTATTACATTTTGTTTGAATATCAATATTATATATTACAAACTCTTTAATTTTAATCAATACTCAAATTGTTTTTTTAAATGTGTTTCTTAAATAAATAATGGTAATGATTATAAATAAAAAATTTATTTATAATTTTTTCCAATAAAAATACATACACACTTTTTGTATTTGTTATGTCGTAAATTTCAGATATTGTTAAATTAGTGTATTAATTCCTTTTTTATATGTTGTTTCAGTTAATAAAATGCATATCAATAACAATGTTTACGTTTTTATTGTTTCTGAATTCATTTAATTTATGTTTCAAAATTGGTTAAAATTATTTTCGAATATACAAATAATTTGATATTATCACAAAATAACTTGGAGATTAAATTTGTTATTTTTATTACAAAAATCAAACAAG